CTCCATCTGAGCCTCTGAGGAGGCTCAGCTTTCACACTTGCACTCCATGGCAGACCATGGAACCTGCACTTCTCTTCATGGTTGGGGTTCTGAGTCCAGCAGTTCGATTAGGGAGATCCCCAAACAAACTTTGTCTGAAGTGATCTCAGACCAGATTCTTGTGTGTACTTGCCAGTACAGGGCCTGGCAGAGTCCGTCACCCCCAGTCAGCTGGTGGTTGCAATTGCTGGGTCAGTTTTGTTTCCAGCTCTGTCTTCCACTGGAACCAATGGGTGTTGCAATCCAGTCTGATTCTGCCCAGCACACACTTGGCCCTCACATAAACCAGTGGGAGCTGCAGACTAGTTGGAGCGACCCCCCATAACCCCCACCAGGCCCACCCCCTGCCCTGGTTCCCATGCTTGCCTGTATGTTCCACAGACTTACTCAGTCTGTCCCACACCCCATTCAGCTCTTCTACATGTCAGTGGGCATTGAAGCCTGGTCCAACCCAAATGGGCCAACTATCCAGGCCATGTACATGCTGGCAGATGTTGTTCTGTCCAGCCAGGTCTGCCCCATTCCTGGTTTTCATGCTCTCCAGTGGGAGTGATAACTCCACAGGGAGGTGTCCACTATTTCTCTCCTGGGCCCACTCCTGGATCACGCACTTTCCAGGTGGTGCTGCAGTTTAGCTTGGCAGAATTAGCCACCAGTGCCAGCATCTGCCAGCTGATGCTGCGGTAAAGCCCAACCAATTCTCACCCATTCTGATTTATTCTTGCACCAGTAGGGACAATGAACCAAGCCTGGCTCTTCCCTGATCTGGCTCACATGAGACCCAAAGCTGTTGTAGCCCTGCCTAGTGTGTTTTGCCCCCATCCCAACTCACACTCTCCAGTGGGTGAAGTGTTCCAACAGGGGGGCCCTCCACATTCCCCTTATCAGCTTCACCCCCTCCCTCACTGGTTCCTACGTGTGCTGGTTGGGCACTGCAGCCCAGTCTGGCGTGGCCTGCCTCACCTCAGTATTTACCAGTGGCCCAGCCAGGCCCAACCCCAATTCCAGCTGGTGAGGATTACAGTCTAACTCAGCCCAGCATGTACCCAATCCCAGCTGTAATGTGTACTGATATGTGTTGCAGCTATACCTGGCTGACCTCACTGTTCTGGTGCTCAGATTTGCCAGCAGGTGATATGAACTGGTTCAGCCTGATCTGCCCCCGACCTATGCCAAATGTATACAGCGGGGGTTACCCTTTCCTGGCCTGGTCTGGGCTACTCCCTATCATGGTTCTTGCACCCTGTCCTGGTTCTCAGATCTGCCAGAGGGTGTTATGAACTGGCACAGACTGGTCTGTCCCCAGACCTGACCCACATGTATGCTGTGGGTACTGTAACCTGGCATGATCTGGGCTGCATCCTGATGAAAGAATTTCCCAAGTTCCTCCATTGAGCCTCTTCCCAGTGGCAGTTCTTATGCACAGCAGTGGGCCCTTGGCCCAGGTTGACTTTGTCCACTTCCTGTCCTTGCAAGAACAGTGGCCTTGCTCAATCAGTCCACACCCATACTGGTTCTTGCTGTTGGGTATTGCAGCCCAGTGATACCTGGTCCATACTCAGACAGCTTTCACATGGTTCAGCAGCAGTCAAGTCCTGGCCTAGTCCATTTTACACCCAACCTTCCTCTCATGAGTACCAGCAGGGGTTGGAGTTTAGCCCAATCTGTCACTCCCCAGACCCTGTACACACCGGAGCCAGTGGAGGCTGTATCCATGTCCAGCCCAGCTTGCTGCTCCAATCCTCTCATCCTCACCAGTGAAGAGACCAGCTCCCCAGCCAGGCCTGTTCCCATCCTCAGTTTTTGATCGAGTCAGCAGAGGTCGCAGTTCCACAGGGGTGAGCCCACATTTCCCCCACAGATTTTTCTATCAGACCCACTTCCCTCACTCTTGTTCTCCCCTCCAAACCAATTTGATGTCAGCCTCCTAGTTACATACACATGTCATGGACTTATCCATAGAAATCCCTTAGCTATAATTTCTAACCTGGGCATAAAACCACAGATAATTGCCCACTACTACCTGTGTAATCCTGTCATTCCCTGCAAATCTAGACCCCTCAAAGTGCCAGGGCATGCTGCGAGGAGACCTGAGGGGTTTCACCCAGTGCCTTTGGCACCTAGACTGCCTGAGCCCTTCCAGAGAGAGCCACATGGCCTGGCTGCATTACACCTGTGTGGGTCAAAAAAAAAAAAAAAACAGGATGGGGTGGTCCTGAAGCCCGCTGCAGAAGGAAATCTATTCTTTCAACATTCACTTCTTCAAAAAATACCGAGCACTGTTTATATACCAAGAATTTGTTAAGGTAATGATAGTGGACACAAATATTAAACACAGTACTCCACCAGTAACCCATCCATTTTGTTGGGATCAACTTGACTAGTGGGAGCTAAGCCAGTGCAGGAGTGTCAGGAATGCCTTCACTGGGGAAGGAAAATCAGAGCTGAGCTATGAAGGATTAGTAGGTAATTGCCCTGTAGAGAAGCTCTACTGATGGGAGAACCTAGGGTCCTAAGTAGAAGGAAGCCACATGGCTGAAACAAGTCAGTCGCATCCCCACCCCCGGCGTGGCCTAGTGGCTAAAGTCCTCACCTTGAAAGCGCCGGGAGCCCATATGGGTGCCAGTTATAATCCTGGAGGCCCCACTTCCATCCAGCTCCCTGCTTGTGGCCTGGGGAAGCAGTCGAGGATGGCCCAAAGCCATGGGACCCTGCACCCATGTGGGAGACCTAGAAGAAGTTCCTGGCTCCTGACTTTGGATCGGCACAGCACCGACCATTGTGGTCACTTGGGGAGTGAATCATCAGACGGGAGATCTTCTTCTCTGTCTTACCTCCTCTCTGTATATGTGACTTTGCAATGAAAATAAAATAAATCATTTTTTAAAAAGATTAACTGAGATAGCCAACTGTTTAGTTCAGTGCTCAGCACTGAACATAATGACCATGGAAAGAATCTGTTAACTACTCTGTATAGCAGAGGTTCTCAAACTTTAGCATCCATCACAGTCATAGTGGAGGGCTTCTGAAAGCACAGGTTGCAGGTGTCCAGATGCTGTAATTTCTGATTCAGTGTGCCTGATGTTTGCATCATGGATTTCTATTCAGTTGCCAGCTGACTTGCAAGGCTGCTGTGGGTGGTACACAGGTGATCCTTGATGACCCAAGGGTCTTGACATCCTAAACGCTGGTCAGAGTTGAATTTCTCACAGCTCAGCTCAACCTGCACACAACAATCTCTCTGAAATCACTTGATCATGTTTATGGCACTATTCAAGGGAGAAAAAGCCCCGGAAAGTCTTCATCCCCTCACATAACAGAAGAAGGAAGGAGCTTGAGGGCCAAAATGCAAGCCGCTGCCTCAGAAATGGCAGGATCCTGAACCCAGTGCTTTCTCCAGTAGAACACACGCTGTTGACATTCTGTCTTTAGGCAGCCAGGTGCTGTGCCTGTGCTCCTCAACAGGACCAAGTTGATCCAGCTCTTCATGGTATTAGCTTTCTGACTTCATAAAGATAAAAATCAACGTATTGATTGCTGGGCTAAATATCGGTTTTGAGGTAAGTGAAAGATAACTTCAATGAAATATATTATTTTCCAAGAAAACCACAGCCCAGCACAATTGTCTACCCTGATCCACATGAAGACTCTTTTCTGTTTTTCACAGGTGTGAAGGCCCCTCTCTTACTGAGTCAGTAATGACAGTAAATGAAACGGCAGCTGCAGTGGCTGATCTGACCAGGGCCTGCCTAGGCCAGGAACCACTCCACTGTCTTCACCTCAGACCATCCCCAGCGTCCCGGCCACCTTCATCTCAGGGAGAGGCAGCCCAGGCAAGTAGAAACATCTGTTTGCTTTACCCAGGCCCTACAGCCAGGGTTTAAATCAAATACGATTCCAGCTGCTGGACTTTCAGATTTATTTTTTTATTATTATTTTTATTGGAAAGGCGGATATACAGAGAGGAGAGACAGAGAGGAAGATCTTCCGTCTGATGATTCACTCCCCAAGTGAGCACAATGGCCGATGCTATGCCGATCCGAAGCCAGGAGCCTCTTCCGGGTCTCCCACGCGGGTGCAAGATCCCAAAGCTTTGGGCCACCCTGGAGCTGGAAGGGAAGTGGGGCTGCTGGAATTAGAACCGGTGCCCATATGGGATCCCGGGGGTGCAAGGCGAGGACCTTAACCACTGCGCCATCGCGCCGGGCCCGGGGCTGCTGGACTTTTAAATGCTCTGATGTGAGAATTAATTTGTCAAAATATTAGAATCCCAAATATGAACATTCTTGAGCTATTTACAGTTAGAAAAAAAAATTGCTGTCTGCACAGATGACAAGAAATCACAAGGGTAAGTTTTCTCCTGGTTTCTTGTCTCAGGAGATAGGAGGTAGACTAAGGGTGTCCCAAAGCAGACGGAAAACCTACAAGCAAAAGCCTGAGTCGCTGAGGCTTCCTGGTCAGTCAGAAGTAAAAGTTTCTCGGAGCAGCCTTCTCTGATGAAAGGGGTGTCCTGCCAGAAACCAGGTGCAGGTGGAGTTCCTGTTTCAACGTTAACAGACTTAGCGCTGCTGGTTGATTTCGCACCAGGATAGCCGGCCTGGGTGGCTGGAGTTTACTCTCCAGGTAGTTATTTGGGGGCAATCCTCGCCCCCTTACCTAGGATAAGGAGTTCCTACCAGAAATGCCAGAACCTTCTAGCTGAGAGAATTGTATGGCTGCTCCGTCCTCCCACACCTATCCCCACCCCCACCGAGGACCCCAATAACTGTTGGTGTGCAGGAAGCTGCCTGAGCGCGCAGCGCCTGCGAGGCTGGCACGAGTCTCCCCAGCCCTCCCCGGGGAGCGCTCCCAGCGTCTTCCCCAGTGATGTCAGCGGAATCCTGAGCCCGATCTCGCTCCCCTGCCGGCTGCCGGGCCGATCGCGGCTGTCACCGTCGCCGCAGCAGCCCCCGAGTTCGGACGCGCGGTGCCCGGGGGCGGCCTCGAGCACCGCCCCCCGCCGGCTGCCCACGCCGCGCTCCGCCCTGGACGCCGCCGGTCCCAGCACGGGGGTGCAGCGGCGGGGAGGGTGCGAGCGGGCCCGGCTCAGCCTGATTTACGGCTCTGCTGAAAACCGCTTCGCTCCCGCAGCATCAGCATCGGGGGCGGCAGCGGCGGCGGTGGCTGCAGCAACAAGTCGGGTAAGCGGTGGCCGCCGGGCTTCAGCATCCACGGCCGGGCCTGGGGGAGGCGGCGTGCCGGGCGGCCGGGTTGGGGACGGGTCCTGTCTCCTGGGCCTGGTGAGGAGTTGAAAGAGCAGGCTTCTTGGCCCCACCTGCGGGAACCTGGCAGCACACGCGTCCACTCTGTTACCAGAGAGCGGAGACCCCCAAACGCCTGGCATCCCTACTCTGCCGGAGTGAGGGCTTTCCTGGTAATACCACCCACCCCGTCACCACCACCACCACCACCGGGACTGGGGTTTCAGCTGGGCTCCTAAAAGCCTGCGTGCCCCAGAGTGTGTGATGACCCATTCCCATGCCCAGGGATTCCCCCACCCTTTCCTAATGCCCGCTAGAATTCGGAATTCCCCTTCGTTTACCTCTTGCCAGTAACTTGGGGCAGGCTGAGAGTCAGGATTTGCTTCTCATCTCCAGAAAACCCACGGTTAAATACACCCATGGGTAGCACAGGAAGAGGCTCTCCTCTGAGGGCCATTGGTAGCCTGGGAGCTTTGCCTGCCTACGTGTCTAAGGATGGTTGGCACCTTGGCTGTTGAAGAGGTTGCGAACCTAATGAGGACAGTTTTCACCCCGGAACTCCAGGTGGACGCCTTTATTTTGGGCTCCCATGCTTGTTTCATTTACACAGAGGCCATTCCTAACGGGAATAAATGTGCAATACTTGCAAAATTGGGTTGCTAGGGTGAAGATTAAAAAAAAAATGCTGCAAAGATCCAATAACTTCTTATTAAAAGAGTTCCGTGGATACCCACCTGGTTCAAACACTGGCCAGCTGTAGAGCTTGTCATGTTTGCATGGGATCCGAGGCAACAGCCATCCAAGCAGACACACAGTCATCTTGGCAAACTGGTCAGGGTGCTCCGCCATGTCCAATGATAACTTGGCATGTTGGGTCGCCAACACTCAGCAGAGCTGGAGTGCAGGGAGCCTTAGTGAAATGGTGGGACAGCTAAATGTCATCACAGCAGTCATTCGAAGAGACACGTTAAAAGCAAGATTGCAGGCTGAAACTTGGGCAGCTGATTGCCAGCTCTGGTAACACCTCTCCTCTAGTTAAAGATCACTGGTTTTGTCCTCTTTGGCAGTTCGTGTGAATTCTTCCTCTTGCTTACTCCAGATTCTGTCTGTGTAATAGGGTGCACTTTTGCGTTTGTTGTGTGTGAGAAGTAGGAGGGCAAGAAGCTGGAATCCCACTTCTGGATCTGTCACTTGTCACTGGCCCTTGGTTTCTTTTCCTCCCCATTCCTGTTTTCTCATCTGTGAGGAGGAGCTGTTAGCCACCTGTTTTTATCCTCTACTTGGTTACAAGCTTGATCTGTAAAGGCTAACTAATAGACACTTTCAATTTTGCAGGCTGTTCTAATCACTTTCAGTGTGGGTAGTGCATAAGCCACCAAGAGTTCAGAAGTATCTGCCTGTAGCTGGGTTTGGCTAACAGAGCTTATAATTCTCAACCTTAGATCAACAGGAAATAGTGTCAGCAAAAATACCTTGAAACCCAGAAGCCGCCCTCATGGAGGTGAGAGGAGTCATCTGGGTGGCATTTCCCCCTCCCCCGCAGATGGGTGAACTTCTTTTTCCCCCTTTCCCAGGACTTTCAGAGTAATGCAACAGAAGGCTTTGGAGGAAAGCAGATATCCTTGGCAGGAGTCCTTTGAGAATGTTGCTGTTTGCCTGCCATTCCGCTGCCCGAGGTGTGGAGACCACACCAGATTTAGAAGCTTGTCGTCGCTGAGGGCCCATCTGGAATTCAGTCACAGTTACGAAGAGAGAACCCTCCTGACAAAATGCAGCTTCTTCCCATCTCTCAAAGACACAGACCTCGTCACCACAGAACTCCTGAAACCCGGGAAACTGCAGAGCGGCGGGCCCGGGGCAAAGCAGAGACCAGGCTATGTTAACTTGTACAGCATTTCGCACGAACACTCTAAGGACCGGAAGCCGTTTGAGGTGGCGGCGGAGAGGCCTGTGTCCTACGTGCGGACCTACACCGCGGTGGACCTACGCACTGACTCGGTGGATGGGCTGCGGTCGAGTCCCGGGCTCCCCACTTCCGACACCAAAGCTTCTTTTGAGGCACACGTCAGAGAAAAATTCAATCGGATGGTCGAGGCTGTGGACAGGACCATCGAGAAGAGAATCGATAAACTCACCAAAGAGGTGGCCCAGAAAACTGCTGAACTGCTGGAAGTTCGGGCAGCTTTCGTGCAGCTGACTCAGAAAAAGCAGGAAGTTCAAAGACGAGAGCGGGCCCTGAACAGACAGGTGGATGTGGCCGTGGAAATGATCGCTGCGCTGAGGCAACGCCTGACGGAATCTGAGGAGGAGCTTCTAAAGAAAGAGGAGTAAGTGGTGCTGAAACACAGGACGCCAACCCCCTTGCTGCAGACTCTGCGACCCTTCCCCACCAGTCCCCAACACATACAGTCACAGTCACAAGCGAAAGTTAAGCGAGGTTTGGTTTTCCGTATTTACAGGTACCTTGGCTGCATTTCCCAATTGTACCAACAGGAAAAGGGCATTGATGTTATTAACCTCTTTATGTACGGTCTATAACTCAGCAATATTAGAGTGAAAATATGTAACTCCTTGACTCCTGAGGCGCTGGAAACCGCAGGCAGAGGAGTAGTGCCATCTGTCTAAGGAGGGCACCAAGGGCATGCTGGGAGAACCATCCCTTGTCTCCATGATGTGGTCGGGAACAAGAGATGCTATCACAGTCAATGCCGTCTTATTCAAATGTAAAAACAAGCTTAGCTCCATCTACAAATTGTTTTGACTTATTTGCCATTTTGAATTGCCCATTTGTGCTAATTAAATGTTGATCACTGAGCACCCATTTAATTACAATGTGTGTTCAGAAGAAGCAGACGTTAAGAAATCTGGAGACTAGACATTCAGATAGCGTTGTATTTCTGTGATGTAGGTTTGATCATTTTTCACGTGAGATGATGGGTGGCGCGAAGGGTAAGTCTGCCCATGTGCAAAGGGTTGACACTGGTTCTCACAACTGAGTATGATAGTAGAAGCTATCACTTGCAAAGTCATCGTACTTGGAGAAGCATTTTGAATTTAACCCAGTTCATAACAATTTAGTGGATTGTGCAAAGGCAGGTGGTCAGATTTCCTTCTAAAGGGTGGCTCAGAATTCATGGACTCGAATGACCCAATACTTGATAGAATGAAACCTCATGGGCTAAAACATCCTGCACAGCAGGATTCCACATCATTCCTGTCCTCTTACAGAGATGGCTTTCATTTCATCTTTTCTTTATCCGACTTCCTGGGAAATCACTTGCTGTCAGGAATGCCTTCATTCTAGCTGGAACGAAGCCTGCTGTGCTCAGATGAGGCCTAAAATTATGTATTTCGGGTGGATTTAAATCAGCCATTGATTTACTTTGCTCACAGATAAGTCATCTCTAATATAAGAAGGCTCTCTTTGTGGCTTCTGATGTCCTTGGTGGACAGTTGGTATCTTGAGCAATTCAGGTCACCAAGGTGACCTGTACCGCTGGAGTAGCAGAAGATGGGCTTCGCTTTGTGCAGAGAAAACCTAAAATTAAAGTTATTATATTTCTGTTTGCTTCAAGAGCAGCGAGTTTAGAAGTCAATGGAGTTAGTGTGTTGCATTTATTTATTTAATCAATTGTATTTATTTCTTTGAAGACTAATAATGAATGTGGAATTGAAGTGTTGAAGACGGACAGGTGAAGGAGAGGATCCCGTGGTTAGACATAGGTTATTGTCAACATCAACATTTGAGCATTTTGGGTAGTGGGCTCACAGGTGCTCCATTGTTTAACTGATTCACAAGACAAAAGTGAGTCATGCGTGGGTCAATAATGATAATATGTTGCAGTTAACTCAAGACTGTCATCCAAGCACCATATGAAAAGCAAATACATTCTTACTTTAAATATATTTAACAACATAGTCTGCCTTACCCTCTGGATCCAGGTCTTCCCTGTTTGAGTACACTTATGAATTATTTATACACACAGAGTTACTGTGTTCTTCCAAATGCAATTATGACTTGGTGTGGGGTTGTTTTTGTTGTAATATTGTGTGTCTTAGGCATCTTTTATGCACCCAACACTGAATTTACCATTCTTTCTAACTTTTGCATGGTATTCCATGGTCTGGTAGGGATGCATAATGACTGATTTAGCCAGTTTGCTATTGATGTCAGTTTGCTATTGAATGCATAATTTTGTTTCATTTTCTTAGTATCAACAGTAGTGCTTCAGTTAATACCCTCATATATGTTGTTTACATATTTTTAATATACCCGAGGGCACACTGTAAGTTGATTTTTAGTATGTCATTTTTGGACTAAAAGAAATTAACAGTAATTTAAAAACTACAACTTTTAATAAAAACAAAATGAAACTGCTTTAAATTTTAAAACATTAAGTGTTTATGTTTAAGCCTTCATTTGGGACTGTCTCATCAGATTCTGTATTCAGTTCCAAATAAACACTCCTCTGTGTGCATAGAATGGAACTGAACGAGTCTTGTTTCCAAGAGAGATCCTGGGGCTGTCGGATTGAGGGAGCAGCTGTGGACAGGGTCAGCAGTGTCCACAGGGTCTAGCCTGTTTTCCCACCCCCATCTGAATGGGGATATAACTGTCCATCTACCATATCACTCATGATTGATTTGACTAGGTCAGCCTGGCTGGGCTGGTTCCTTCCCTCCTCTCCTCTCCCTTACAGCACTGTGTCCTCTACCAAAGAGGTGGCCTTGGAAAGGCGCTGTTTGGCCAAGGTTCATGCTAGCAGCCATGGTCCCCCAATAAAGGATGCTGCATGAATTTCTGAGGTGCATTTGTGATGGAAGTGAGTCATTCCCACCCCACTTGAAATTGACTTGAAAACTGAGAATGCTTTAAAATGTAGATGGTAGACTTGGCTGAAAAAAAAAAAAATAAAAAACAGGAAATTTCTAGTTGCTGACATTCATGCAAAGGTGCTTTTTTTAAAAAAAAAAAATTTACAAAGCTTTCTCTCAACTTTAAAAATCCTTTATTTAAAACTGAAAGTTAAGTCTACAGGGCTACTTCTGCCTTGAGGCCTCTATAGATTGATTCAACTAGGTCCATAGATAAATAAATATAAGTACATATACAGACTATAGCAGAGAACATTGTTTGAATTGGCAATATTTTTGTACTGGGAAGTCCCATTAGAACCCTGTAGAAAGGTATCTGTGTGTTTTGGGAGTGCAAATTCCAAAAAGAAGCTGCTCACTGTCTTACAAAGTCTGTACAACTTTTCAAATCCTGTTGAGATAGGTGTTTACTTATTGAAGAGCAGGTGGAGCTGTGGGTAGGTAGCACTGCCTATAATCAGGTAAATCAATCTGAAAACCTTGCAGTAAAGTAATCCCTTAACAAGAAAGTTGGACTCGGTTGCTTGTCTTCTGGGGTTTGGAGAATTTGATTACAACAGCAGTAACCCCATATACTCTGCTACATAAAAGGTTGCAAAGTCTTGAATGAGCGTCTTTAATGTGCCCAATGTGGTGCTTGGTGTTGTGTGAGGAACATACACTTCTTGATTGGTATTTTTCTCTAAGAGGAATGTATGCTATACATGGGAAGAAATGCATACCCATGAGCATGCCCATGTATTTTTAACAGGTGCTTAAATACAAGCCACAGTTTCAGGTTGATAAACCATTAGACAGCTGATTGTCCCACATATAAGGGAGTGACGCTGGAGGAGCAGCTGCAGGGCATACTGGAGGAGATGGCCTCTGAGTGGCCTGAGTGGTTGTTAATTTGAGAACTGGATGATACCATCTGTCTGTTTCAGGGTAACACATTTTATACACACAGAAAACAGGGCCCAGAGCAGTGGCTTTAGTTGCAAAGTAAAGCTGGAACCCAATTTGCTGTTTGAGTGCTTTTTCCATTTATTCTCTGTGTCCCAGCCAGACTTCTGAAAATGTGATGTTTGCCCAAAGCCTAAAAGACTTATGTAATAGCAAATGTGGCCCACTTTGGAATGGGCTTGCTATTTTGAGAGGCTGCCAAGGTGACATCATTTATTTTTCTGATGTGATGAAAGAAATGCCAACTGGCATCAAAGGTGTTCAGGAAGCTGGAAAATGGCAGTGTCCTAAGCATGGCGATGATGTGAAGCTTCCAGAGCATTTTAGCCCAAGGTTTCTAACTTCCACTGGGGACTTTTGGCTGTGTCCATGCCCAGTTACTGTGAGGGCTTGGATAACAATGAGAATCCAATGTGTGATTCCATCTCTAACTTCCATCCTGCTCCCTAGGGAGCTAACAGAGCTGAAGCTCCCCTCTCCCTTCATCATGTGTCTCATGCTCAGCTTGGGACTAGGCAGGAGACAAATCTTCGTGGAGTCCCTGATCAGTGGTACCACTCTAGATTCTCATCACAGTAGCAAGCTAAGGGAATGCAGTTCCTGCCTTCATGTGGCTCTTGGTGGAGAACTGAAAATGGACATTAGGGCATGTCATTAAAGACACATGGGGGGCAGCTGAGTCAGATAATTCCCATTTAGGTTTCCATCCAAACATGCTGTGGAATGTTGACCTTCCCAACGCAAGTTTGACATAGTCATTTGCTTTGCATAAGTCAGCCCTCTTGCATGTAAATTAAGCCTTTCCCACATTAGCAAAGGCAGTCAGTGAACAGGCAACAGTGAGCAGGCCGGGGAACAACATAGTAAGTGCAGAGTTCAGGGGATGGAGGGGTGTGTTGGCTTTACTTGATTGATTCATCTCAACAAATGGGGTCTTCTCTTTTTAGGCTGTGCTCCCTGTAGACTTAGAAACACAGACAGAATCAACCAGATGTTCCACAATTTCTTTTTCTATTGGACTCAAGTTTCTCTGCACCATTCCAGCCACCCCTTGCCCTTCTCTCTGGGCCCAAGGGTCTAAAATTATAGTATGGATCCACTTAGAAGCTGTTAGAATATTTTAATTTTCTCATTTAAATTTTAAAAATTCTATGGAGAAGTGTACTGGCGTATTCAAAGACGCTGAAAAAGAAAGACAGCCAACAAGAGTAGAGATGGGCCAGATGTGTAGCTGGTGCAGATGTGGGCCAGTGAGGAACAAGGAGCTGGCTTTGGGCTCTGGTTTGCAGCCAGCTCCTGGTACTTGGAGACAGTCAAAGCCTGCTTCGCAATTGGCCTCACAGATGACATTACCATCTGTTTCACGGGCTCTGTGATCAATAACTAGACTATTTTTAGTTAGAGGTATTTTTATCATGTCATATACCTCTGAAGAGGTTCATGAATCAGTAATGCACAATGAAACTTAAATAACTTGGTGGAGGTTTGCCTTTGGGAAGACAAGCCC